TTTTATTATTTATATTTATTTTATTTCCGGTCTAGTTTTTGGGTGGAAAGTGATCCAAAGGGAGTCAAGATGCTTGAATAATTTTCTCTATGCTGTAGCTGTTGTGCACTTTGTGAGGGTCCCTTATAAGATCATTTACGTTTCTTTATGTGAATAACAACCATGATAATGTTTTTATTTATAGTAAAATTGGGATTTAGTTGTACCATAAAGTATATACAGGATGAATATTAAATAATATAAATGATCACAAGGGGTAATTCCTTATACAAATTTAAGACAAAAAATTCATATAACCATATATGCCGAAGTTTACAATAATTTCAAAGATGGTGACAAATTGAAGGAAAAATTTAGCTCTTTTCCCGAAATTTCAATAATTACTCGTATTATTTTGATGAAGCTTTGTGTATGTTTTATCAAAATAATCTGAGTGGTTTTTGAAATTCTTGGAAAAAAACAAAATTTTGTCTTTAACTTTGACACCCTGTATCTTTGAAATTAAATCGTTTCAGTATATACGAACTTTTCGTTTTAAATTTGCGAGGAATTTCCCTTAAAATCTTTTACGTTATTTACAAGGGACATATCACAACTGTCTGACACCAATTTAATTCTTCTTAAAATATGTTTTTAAACACAAAAATCTAAGAGACACGTATTTTTTTTATATGTGCAAAATCTTAGCTTTAGGGGGTGAGGATTGGGTTTGCGTGGAGTGGGGAGGTGTCGTTGTCATCGACGGCTATTTCTCCCCCAATCGGAGCATTGGTGATTTCTGTGCCCTATTAAACGAGCTGACAGGACTCACGCAGACCCATAGAGACAGCCCAACGCTGCTGATTGGAGACCTCGACGCGAGGTCTCACGAGTGGGATGACAAAAAGGAAAACTAGCGCGGAAGGATTCTCGCGGATTGGCTGGTAAGCAGGGATCTTCAGGTCTTGAATAGGGGTGGCTCCCCTACATGCCTCAGGTAGCAGGGGCAATCAGCGGTGGATATGACCTTCGGCAATGCGAGAGCGGCCGATCTTGTCGGCGATTGGGCCGTGCTGGACAGCGTGGACTCGGCCTTTGACACAAATACATCGAGATGAGTCTGAGATGGCCGGATGGGGATCTCTTGGAGAGGAAAAGGACGTTGAACAGGCGCTTCCCGAGATGAATGTGGCTAGGATCGTGTCGACCCTCTTCCCTGCTCGTCCAATCGATAAATACAGGAGAGAGGTGCGTGGGATCCAAGTGACGAGGTTACAGATGCGGAGCTCGATGCGTGCATAAAGAGAATCCGCTCGAACAGGAAAGCGCCGGGCCCTGATGGCATCCACAACAGAGTAATTGCGACGACTGTCGGATGCCTTCGAGAGCCTTCGAGAGGAAGAGGTGTTTGGATAAGTGCTTAGACGAGGCACTTTTCGCAGAAATAGAAGGTGGCAAAGTTGGTTTTGCTGAGCAAGAAGGCTGAGCAAACCTGTGGGTTTACCATCATCTTATAGACTCATTTGCTTGCTGAATGGATGCGGGAAGTTGCTAGAGAGGATAATGATGCGCCGTCTGATGAAGCATCTCGACGAAAGGGAGGGCCTCTCGCTGTATCAATTCGGCTTTAGAGAGAGGAGGTCCACTGTGGATGCGGTCGGGTGTCTCCGAGAGATGGTTGGGTCTGCCACCGACGATGGAAAGAAGGTGATCGTCATTGGCCTAAATATTAAGAATGACTCGTTTCCGTGGGACAGCATCCGGAAGGCATTGGTGGACAAGGAGGTACTCGAGTACCTTAGAGCGGTCTTTGACTCATACTTAAGTGACAGGTATCTCACCTACATTGATCGCGATGGAGTACATAGAGTGGCAATAACGTGTGGAGTTCTGCAGGGCTCAGTGTTAGGCCCCAAATTGTGGATAATCATATGATGGGGTATTGGCGGTCCATCTGTTTGGTGAGTGTGAGTTTATTTGCTATGTGGACGACACGTTTATCGTCGCGACGGGGGTCGACTGGCGAGAGGCGCGGCTGAAGGTTGAAATAAGTGTGGCGATGGTTGTCAGGGCAATCAACGGCTTAGGGCTGAGTCGCCCCTGAGAAAACGGAGGCGTTTGCCTTTCCCGATGGCGGGATCGAGCCGGGACAGTGGATCGAGGTTCAGGGAACAAGGATCCAGGTAGGAAGTGAGATGAAGTACCTGGGCATTGTCATCAATAGCAAGTGGAGCTTCAGGCCCCACTTTGAGAAACTAGCGTCCCGGATGAAGAGAATGGCTCCTTAATCGACTGATGCCCAATCTGCGCGGTCCGGGGGAGCAAAGGAGGAAGGTATACGCGAGTGTCATCAACTCCGTGATAATGTACGGGGTGCCGGTCTGGTGGGAAGCAGTGCGTCAGAACAAGTACATCTGCCTACAAGTGTACAGCGCAGAGAGTGTTGCTGCGCGTACCGCACTGTTTTCCATACGGCCGCGACGATTGTTTTCCAGGTCGGGCTTTTCGACCTGGCGGCAGAGAGGTACTCCAGGGTGTATTGCAGGATAGATGAAATCAAGCACGAGGGGATTTCACTGACGAAGAGGGCTATGGATATTATTCGAGACCAAGAGGAGAAGAGGGCTCTGGAGAAATGGAGACAGAGAGTCATCGATGGTCTAGATGCTACAGGGATGAGAGTACGCGAGGCGATCGGCGGTTTTCAAGGAGTGACTGGTCAGGGCGCAAGGGAGGGTAACGTACCGAGTGACTCCTCTGCGGTCACGGGTGCTTCAACGAATTTCTCCATCGTATTCGAAGGGCACCCACCCCCCTGTGCGTCCACTGTGGCGAGGAGGATGATACCGCGCAGCATACGCTGCAGTATTGTCGAGCGTGGAGCATGGAGAGGCTGATCGAGGCCATAGGCGTGGCCTCAACCTGCGTGCGGTGGTTGAGGCGATCCTCAAGGACAGAGAAAGTTGGAAGGCCTTCTCTCGCTTTTGCGAGGAGGTCATGCTGGAAGCTGCGGAGCGTCAGACGGGGGTGGCGCTTGGGGAGAGGGACATGGGTCAGAGTGAGTCAGAGTAGAACCATCCAAAATTAGCTTCTCCCTTTAGGGCTTTCATGTCAATGTCAAATCAACGTAGAACGAAACTCGGGGAATTAGTGGACCAGACGTGGTCATGCGAAATCTAGTGATGTGACTTTGTGGGAGGAATACCGGTTAGATGGGGGGTCCCGTAGGGGAGCAGGGGGGGTGTCGCGAAGTATGCTTACTAGCGATCCCAAGCGCCACTACACATAGGTAGATGGAGAGTGAATTGGGGGGAGGGGGGGTTTAGGCGGTAGGCCATGTCTGGCTGTATTGGATAAAACCGATCGGTTGGGCATGGAATCCGTCACATTAGCGGTACCGGGCCGCGAGCGTCTTTCCCCTCATGATGGGACGAGGAGGGGCTAGGCTGGCCTTAGCGGGTTAGTCCGGTTCCGAATCGTTGCTTCATAATGGGTGGTAAGAAAGATTTTTCCTTTCCGCACAAACAAGAAAAAAGGTTTAGGAGGTAAAATACCCTTTTGAAAAAAATGGTTTTTTTTATGGCGAATATCGTCGAAAATATAAAAGATAGAAAAAAATGTTTTAAACAAAAGTTGTACGATTTGAAGAGTACTTTTAAGTTGTAAAGAAAAAAAATTTTAAAATTTTTTATTTAACAAAATACTTCTACTACTCCAAGTTTTTTTTAATTTTTACAATTTTTTTTTACCAAATTAAAAGTTATTTTATTCTGAATTCAACCGTATATAATAAAATTAAATAACAAAATATCATTTTCGAGAATTAATTATAAATGCCCCCGTATATACGTTATCTGTGCTCATGTAATTTTCATAAAAACAATAAGATATACAAGGTGTTTGGTAATAACCGCACTAGACCTCATGGGCAAGTAGAGCAGATGAAACTAACCAGAAAAGTCCTCTACCATTTTGCAAAATTCGTAATCATTAATTTTTGAAGATCGGCAAATAAACGCGTATCTCTTCGCCTACTGCTGAATGCAGGCGCACGGCGAGATACGACCGCCCCACTGCTGGTAATTGCAAACCTGTAGTTGACGGTCGTATCTCGTCGCGCTCCTGCATTCAGCGGTATCGCGTATTTTAGCCATTTTTCGAAAAACACCAAAACTTGTTTGCTTTACTCGATACAAGAGACAAACTACACTAACTGCATCTGTCTGAAACTTTTTCGGTAGAACCTCTAATTGTAAAGGATCAAACTTAAGAAAAATTATAATCATTTGACCTCTGATGCCATTTCTATGTCAGGCCGAGAACTTTTCACCTTGCTTACATAAACTGAATCAAAAAATCCTCAACCATTTTGCGATTTGTGCAATGTTATCAAGATATTAATCATTAAAAAAAATTATGCCAAGTATATAAAAAATTAAGTATCGTACATTACATCTTTCCTAAATCATTAGTCATTTTAGTCACTTTAAACCTGTTTTATGAAGCTTAAAATTATTTAGAAAGATAATGGCATTAAACTTTTGCTGCATATATTTGTTGGATGGTTTAAATGGTTTATTAAGAAAAATATTTTTGATTTGGAATAAAATACTTTTGTCTCTATGTCTAAACGCTTGGCAACTTGTATGATCTTATATTTGTTTTTGGACAACTTTTATTTGTTAAAATAATATTTTTTATTTAAAGAAGATGCAATGTACAATACTTTTTTATGTACTTGGCATAAATCTTTTTTTTAATGATTAGTATCTCGATAACTATTACAAAGATTGCAAAATGATATAGGACTTTTTGATTCAGTTTAGCCCACTCAATCTGCCCACGGGCGTTTTATCATTAAGCGGACATCCTGTGCATTAGTTATTGCGATGAATATCACATGCCTCGATAATCGAATGAACGTTCGCAAGGAGGGAGATCCAAGTTCGAGTCCTGGCTGAGGTTATATTTTTCGTAATAAATTCTTTATAGATTTTGGAGAAGAAAAATTCTTTAAATGTTTGTTAGTATTAAAGATGTTAAATTGGTCGTCAATTTAAATTGTTATAATGGATTCTGGCTTTATGTGAAAGAACTGTGTTTTAAGACTGACAAAAAATTGCGGCACGCAATTTTGTATGGGCCTGAAGAATGTAACAATAAAATTATTATACACACCAACATACGTGTCAGGTCATATTGGCTATTACTTCGATATCTTTGATTTACACTTGAGAGCCTAATTCCTTTCAAATTTATTTGAATATAAAAATTTAACATTGTACTCAAGCTGAGTCTCCATTATTATAAAATTATTTACCTTCGTCGTGCACTAACATATGTTTGAAGTGCTATGCATTTCATTTGGTATTACACGCTAGGGCGGAAGTCGGAAAACTTAACAGCAGAAAAAATTGTATTTTATTCAATAAATGCTATTAATGGCTGTGAAAATTACTTCTAAGAAAGCAAGTTATAATAGAACTAATAAAATTGTAATAAAATTAATATTGTTAAATAATGTTATTTAAGATTGTAATTTCTTTGACAATACACCGTTCAGCCGCAATATTGACAATGCCATATGCAACATTTATACGAGTATTAAAAAGTTAGAAGATACTAAATTTCCGCTCTAGCGCGCTATGATAGATAGACACGTGTGCGCGCGCATTACTACAAATATACGTTGTTGCACCGTGCAGATAATACAATGCTCAAAAAAATTATTGCATAGAAAAATTTTATATTATCATTCATATTTGCTGCTTGTAAAATTACTTACCCATAATATGAGCAACAGTTTCATAAATATTCATTGATCCGCCAATGTTTGCTTTTTCAGCAACAACCATACTGCTTACGATAGGTCGGTTTTGTAATAAAAATACATCTAAAGTATCCAAACAGGAGGATATTCTTTGTTGCAATGTACCTCCAATAACAAGTTCTTTGTTGTCTTCTTGCAAATCTGCGACTAATCCTACATCACCAATAGCACCCCACTGTATTGCTAAACCATGTAATCCTTCTTTCACTCTTTTTTCACAAATTCTCTCCATTACGGAATTAGCCATTCCATAATTTGTCTGACCTGCATTTCCTCTTCCACATGAAACAGAAGAAAATACGACAAAATGTCGAAGTTGTGGACATATTATTCTCGACAATTCATCCATTTTCTTTGTCATCCATGCCTTTGATTGGAATGAATCTTCAAACATTTGCGGTGACTGATTTTGGAATAAACAATCTTTTAACACAACTGCAAGATTGAATATGGCGTCCACTGGTGCTTTTTTCTCAGCAAATTTTAATATGGATTCACAGTCATTACGTTTCAAAATATCATTGACTGTAACGATCTGTACGTCCACACCGTAAGATTGCCACAGTTTTACTCTTGATTGCTGATACCCAGTTCTGATTCCAGTTCGTGATGTCAACACTAGATGTTTTGCACCTCGAAGAGTTAACCAATCTGCTAGCTCTAAACCAAAACCGCCTAGTCCACCCAAAATGACATAACATTTATGTTCTAGGCAATAATATCGCGGATAAGCAAGTAGAGGAGTATCCGCCGGCTCATCTTCTTCACGAATTTTTATTATTATCTACAAACATATAATTAAAATAAAAAACGTATGAATGAATGAGCGAATGAGCCAAGCAAGAAAAAAATAGTGTCAATAAATAATTATACGCCACAAAATTAAAGGATCACCTGTTTTATCTTCTGAAAATAGGCAAATTTTAAGATAGACTAACTTTGTTGAAAATGACCGCAACGAGATTTTTCCAAAAGCATTTTTCAGCTTGGAGTTTCCACTTTTCAAGTTGATACTTTAGAAAACGATTAACTGATTTTTTTAAAATTGCATAGATACAAATGGAAATATGACAAATCACAAAATTTTTTTTTAACTTTGCAAAGTTTCATAGCGTAAAATAAAAATCGCACACAAGTGGTGTAGCTTTCGAAAGAATGAATCTTTTCTTTTAATTTGCTTTTTTGTTGAGCATTGTAAGATTATTTTTCACCGACTTATTTAATATTGAAACAGAAATTACCTTTTTTGCTTCAATGTTGAATAACTGGGTAAAAAAAATCGCTCATTGGGGTATCCGATTTAATTCTTACAATCAAAATTTTAATTACTTATTTTAAAAACATCCCAATATTTAAATTAGCTTCTTATAAGATTAATAAATTGAGTTAATTCATAAAGATTCACAAGGGCTTGAGGGTACAGAAAAAGGTTAGCGGAGAGGAAGGGCAGTAAATTGGCAAGGAAGTGTTCGGAGAAGATAAGAGAGAGGGCGAAGAGGGGAGGGAGATTGTCAGAATGGGAAAAGAAGAGAGAGAGATTTTCTGAGGAAATAGGGGTGGAGAGAGAGAGAGAAAGAGAGAGAGAGAGGAAGGTGGAAGGGGGAGAAAGAGAGGAGGGAGGAAGGTTTGAGTATGGAAGATTGGAAGGAAAGGATAGGGAAAATAAAAGGAAAGAAAGATGGGCAAGAATAAAAGAGTCAAGGTATAATAAATTGTATAAGAGAGTAAAAGGAAAGGGGTTGCCAGAGTATCTTAAAAGAGATGGACGGAGAATAGATGGAGCAGATTAGCGAACTACAGATTAAGAGGAGAGATTAGCGAAGGGTTGTATTAGAGGAAAGAGGAAGAAGATGTGCAGGATGTGTGGAATGAAGGTAGAAACATGGCAACATGTGCGGGAAGAATGTGGACGATAGAATATGACGGGTAATTGGGCAGAAATGGTAGAGACGGTTTTAGGAGGGGAAGGAGAGGAGGTAATAACGTAATAAAGGATTTTATGCATTTACAGGCTGTGACTATAATCCAGCATTTTTTAAAAAAGGAAAAAAAGCCACTGGCTTTTTATTACGTAGCGACGAAAAATATCAAAAAGCTTTTAAAAAACTTGTAGATAAATATATCGAATTTCTGCAAAAATATTTGAAGTATTAGAAAAATTCATCTGCCGAATGTACATTATAAAAAAATTAATGACGTCAATATGGCTAGATTTGAAATATTTACAAACACGTTTAAAGCTGAAAACGTAAACAAATATTTCGCAAAAAATTACAATACCTCGATTTTACTGCCTTTTACAAACACGTTTAAAGCTGAAAACGTAAACGAATATTTCGCAAAAAATTACAATGCCTCGATTTTACTGCCTCAGAGTTACATCAACAATTATTAAGAGCACGTTACATCACTAGTATTTGGAGGTTAATTTAAAATATCCGACCGATTTACAACCAACTGGACATAGCTGGCAGGAAACAGATAATAAATATAAATGTTTTTTGATTCAACGGCGAGCAATTACCAACATTTGTGCAAGACGTTGTGAGGATAAACTTCCGAAAATGACCTGCTTCCGATTTCAATGAAACTTTATCAAAAGCTTTAATTTGGGCTAAAATAAAAGTCCTTGAAAGGATTTTCAGCGACTCCTATAAAAAAGCCATTTTTTAAGATCAAATGATAAAAATGTAACAGATAAATATTTTAATCAGGGAATCACATTCATTGGCCTTGACATATACTATCAAGATCATGGTCCTAAGTGATCTTCAAAAGATTTTAGTCATTATTTTAAGTTATTAACAAAAAATATTTCATAAATAAAACGCAATTTTTGTCGTATTTTTGTTGTATATTATATCTTACCACGCGTGCAAAGTCAAAAACTCATGTGAAACAGTACAAGTTATAGATCTTGGTTTGCAACAATTAAAGTAATTAAATATATTTACATATATTATACAGGGTATCCCAAAACTCGCGGATTTCCTTTTAAGTGCGGATTCTTTAGAATATTCTAGGACGAAAATCCTAATACGAAAATGTCGAGACTATAATAGTTTTTAAATTAGTAGCGA